CATCCACCAACTCCTTGGGGAATCTGAGATCCTTTCTGACATCCAGACAGAAAGAAGGGGAGAGTCTCCTCATTTGACCCAGAAGTACAAAAGTTTTCTGACTAGCCAAGACATGGTTGGGAGGCAGCTCACAGCCCAGAGATGGAAAAGGGCCATAGCTGAGCACCACCGGGATGGTCAGTAGAGATAGCAGGAGGGCCATTGGGAGAATTGAGGATGCTGCTGGCCTGACTGAGCTGGTTGTTGGGTTGAACCTTGGGCCCCAGGTTCTCTGAAGACATTCATCCCATCATGGCTTTTAAATAGGGAACAAAGTCCTTTCATTTTCTGAACATGCCTTTAAACTTTTGCTTCCATTTTTTTATTTCATTTACATATTCCTCCTATGCTCTGAGAAGATGTCATCAATTTTAATACTTAATTTTTGCCATAGAAGTTATTTTCCCAGTACACTTTAGATGTAAAATCCAAATGAGTATTATCGATGAAATGGGAAACATCTTTGTCTTAAAGTCAGAAGTGTATTATGCATGTAAACACATACCTATATTTACATACGTGCTGTTCATTGTGCTTGGAACAAATTTTGAGCTCTAAATCTGAGCTCCATTTTCACCCTCCTTACTTTATATAGAAAGTCAGGATCCCTTAGCCCTATGGATTTTTGTATTCGATTAAGGATTTCCCAGACGATCAGTGGTAAATGAGCTCTTTGGAACCAAGGACTAGGTTTTATTCTGTGTTTTAGTCACAGCAGAAAGTAATGATTATCAGTGAATAAGCTTCTCTCACTTTTCTTTTCCTTCTAGAATACATTTTGTAGGCCCATACTGTTTTCCTTTCCTAGGACCACGAGATTAGGACTCTACTACCCATTGTCTTTTTTTCCCACCATTTTCTTACTGGATGCCTAGACTTCTTTGACTGTTCTAATACCTTTAGCAAGAGTCCTAACTCTTTTCACATGCTTAGAACATGGAGTTTCTAATTCCAAGACAATTTTATTTTTAGCCAGTCCCCAGAATTACCTCCCTCATAAGGCAGTTATCAAACCATGTAATACCCTCTCTTCTAGAGTGACAGAGTGTGTTCAACTATAACTCTCCAGGACTCAGTCTCTTAGGGCCACTGACCACATCCAGATGACTCTATAACTCCTTTACTGGAGAACAGTTTGTTTCTTTGTTGTCAAAATCATTTAATATTCCGAATTCTCACCTGTGTTACTAGAGTGTCTGCGTGAAGGACCCTCAATCTCAGGGGTGACCTCCTCCTCTTTTCCATGTTACTAGATGTCACATGTCCACAAGCTTCAGATGCTGGTAGTAAATGTTGTCTCTATATGTAGGGAAATTCTTTAATTGTAATCATTTTACCTTTAGTCTAAAACATTTTGTTTTGCCAAGTACAGCTTGTATTTTTCGATTCCTTTTCAGATTTTATGAGCTGGACACGGGGTTCGGTAATGATTGTGTGTCATCATATAACAGTTGTTCATCTGGTCAGTGTGATTGCTCTGGGAATTTTTGTTAGTCTATCTCTATCTCTCTATGAGAGGCCAGGTTATTATGGGAGGAAGAAAAGGCCCTCTTTTCTTGACAGTTTTGTGATTTTTGTATTTTTAGTTTTTGTAACTGCTTAAGTAAATGTTGTGGTTTACTTGGTGAAGTTTTCTTTCTGCTCTTACATTTCTTTCTATTTTATCTTGAGGTTAATGCAAACGAAAGGAAGGACAGGCAAATGGGTTGTATCATTTTCCTTTATAATTTTCAAGACATTAGATTTGTGTTTCTCATTACAACATTCCTGGAAAGCAAAATTAATAGTGTTTTGTGGGCAAAGAAACCTACTGTTAGTCTGAATGTCATGAAAGTGAAAGAAAGGAAGTGGCTGTTTAGCAGACAGAAGGACAAATGTGTATGTTTGCAAAATGTAATGCAGCTACATCTAGGACTAGGGACTATGACAGAGGGGAAGAGTTAAGGCCAGTACTGAAGGAAAGAAGCAGCAAAATGGCTGCTTCTGTCAGAGGCTCAAATGGACCCATGGACAGCCTTCAGTTTTGCAAGACCAGTATTTCACTTTTCTTTCATTTAATGCAGATGTGATCAGCTCTGAGGAGGGAAAGGAAATGTCACTGCAGCTACCTCATAAGAGACTAACCACCACAACCCCAGTTGTTGGAACACAAATCCTCTCTGGCAGGATAATGGATACTAGGCATAGCCTGAGCACCCTACCTAGTTTATGAATCCAATCTGCTGATGAAAAGATTATTTTGAGAAACATAGAGTTAAAAGAAAGGGAATTAGATGATTCTCAAACATTCTGCTCTTTAATCTGGATAATGAAAATGATGATGATCATATTAAAACATGATAACAGAAATTTTATTGCATGTCAACTGTGGACCAGCTAATGTTCTAAAATCTTTTAAAAATACAGATTGAGTTCTGTCAACAAGCAACATAAATTACACTTATTTACAAACCTTGTAATAGCAGTAGTGGTGCAAAATTGAAGTGCTCAGCTAGTAACCAGTAGGTCAGTGGTTTAAACAGGCTAGTCACTCCATGCAAAAAAAGACCTGGTGATCTACTCCAAAAGATGACAGCCTAGGAAACCCTATAGGGCAGTTCTAGTCTGTCATACAGGGTTTCTGTGAATCAGAAGAGACTCAACAGTGTCTACACCAAAGCAACAACCTAAAATTTATGGAGAGAAATATAAATCTAGTGGAATGAACTATTTCAAAAGTATCAAAGATCCAAAGTAAAACCTTAGAGAGAGTTCAGATGATGGCTTGTTTGAAAAAGTCCATTGAAGGAAGTGAAACATACACATGGAAATGGGATTTACAATGGAGAGACTAGGTATTAAATCAGCACACTGAGCTTGTGATGACAAGGAATTCTGAGTTACCACAAATGCCCAAGGTTTCTTTCTATTGTTTAGTAGGACAGCCGGGGATGTAGTAGTATGAGTGAATTTAACTGACTGACTTTAAGTGCTAAGGAAAAATAGGCAAAATACCTTTTAAATAGTTAGTAAGGAATACATTTTTGGATGCTTAAACATTGCCTAAAAGTTAATGAGTGACAGAAACATCAGGGTGAGTTTCTCACAATGCAGCAATTTCTCTTTAATACTCCTAACTCCCTCTTCAAAAAAGTTAACCAGTCATTTCATTAAGGAAATATATGAATTTTATTAGCTCGTCAAATACCGTATCCTGTAAATATTTACTTTTGACTCTCGAATGTTCTTGTGAGCTTAAGAATAAATAAGAAGCATCTAAGAGCTTCCACTCCAACAATAGCCCAGGTATAGGGCCGTGGTTTATCTCCTTAGGTCCTCGTTGATTCCATGGGATACCTGCTTCAGGGCCACTCTGCTGCTCCATTACCAAGGACTACAACTTGGTTTCTTACCTTCAGCTCAGACCTGACTTCCTCTTGTCCACTGATAAAGCCTCAAGAATCTTCTCCCCTCTTTATCTGTCCAGCAAATTGTTGAGTTGTGAGTGCTGAAAAGGCCTTTGGTGTGACTTAGATGGGAGAGTATCAAGCACTTCCTGTAAGGAAGCATTGAATCTCCTTACAGGATTATTTGCAAAAGAGAGCCTGGCTTTAATTCTGAAATCAGCCACATGTTTGGGATGATTATCGTTGTTTTTCTCACTTCATTCTAGTAAAAAAGGAAAAATCATAAAATAAAATCACAAGATTAAAGTAAGCTTACCATTAAAATTAGCAAGACTTGTGTCCTATACTTTGCCAAAATTATCAGAAGGGACCAATCCCTGTGGAAAGACATCGTCATTGGTAGAGCAGAGGGACAGTGAAAAAGGAGACCCTCAATGCAATGGGTTGACACAGTGGGTGCAGCAATAGGCTGAAGCCCAGGAGAGATGTGAGGAGGGCTTGGGACTGGGTGGAGTCTCATTCTGTTGTCCAGGGGGTCCGCGTGTGTTAGAAACACTGGATGGCACAACAACAAAATAAATAGCATTAGTTGAAATGTTAAAAGTATTAATACTTTTAACAGAAGTAAAATTGATTAAATAAGTTTAGATCTAGAAAGCTCAAATGGCCAGAGACTATGTCTCTGAGAAAGGTTCCTAGAAAGAGCAGAGAGCCAGATGAGGATCTTGGAATTTTAAAGATGCAGGAAACCTATCTCTCTGTCTCCCTGTCTCTGTCTCTCTGTCTCTCTCTCTATCTCTCACACACGTGCAAAGCTAGAGATGTACCTATCATGCAAACAACACTTCTGAAATATTCAAAACACAGAAACAGGGGCAAGTGTCAAGATTGTGAGGAAAGAGAGTCCTTGTTTAAGCTTTTCTTAAACATTTTGGCTTAGTAACCCTTTATACTCTGAAGAGTTATTGGGCACACTACAGAGCTTTTGGATAATATTGGTCAATATTTTTCACATGAGAAATTTAAACTGAGAAGCTTTTTGTATGACTACACAAACACATATTCTGTTAGCTACTAAAGCACTAGAAACTGTGATTCTCTGTCACACATTTTGTGGCTTCTGGAAAAATCCACTAGATACTTATGAAAGAATGATAATGGGAAAAAGTCTTAGTGTAATAATTGAAATTGTTTGATATCATGGGCCTGCAGAAGTTTTTTTAATGGTTCCCTGACCACCCTTTGAGGAACATAGCTATTAGAAAATGGAAAGCATTTGTACATTGAGATGAATATTGCACATAGAGATATAATCTGTGAGATTCTGTTTACTATAGAAAACAGCAGAATTAAAAGGTGGTAAAAAGTAATAATTTTGAAAGAAGCTAAAAGCAATATCATTGACCTTCTTTCTACCTGTCATTCTACCCTGACATTCTCAGAAGTTGTTGTTGTTGTTATGTGCTGTCGAGTTGTCTCTGACTCATAGCGCCCTTATGTAGAATAAAATGAAACACTACCTGGTCCTCTGCCAGCCTCACAGTCCCGTCTATACCTCAGCCCATCACTGCAGCCACTGCATCAATCCATCTTGTTGAGGGCCTTCTCCTCTTTCATTAACACTCCACTTTACCAAGCATGACATCCTTCTCCAGAGAATGGTCCCTTCTAACAACATGACCAAAGTAGGTGAGACAAAGTCTAGCCATTCTCGCTTCCAATGAGCATGCCGGCTGCACTTCCTCCAGGACAGATTTGTTAGTTCTTAAAACAGTCC